CACTCGGGCTACACGAATCCGTGCTCAAAAATTCAAAATGATAACATGAAAACGAGAAATGGCCAAATTCATCGAAAGGTGAATTTTTTCGAATCAAAATGACGTGTTCAGTATTTTGACTCGTTCTCCCTCATTTCATTATGAAGTGCCAACTATTTTATTATCAAAATGATCAGCGTTCAAATCTCTACAAACCCTGAAAGTTTGAACGAATTCGGAGATAGTTTTGTAAATCGTGGTAGGGTCATCATGGAATCACCCAGGACAGTCTTTGAACCACTCCCGGCGGGCCTTGCCGGGACAGTTTTTGATCGTCCTGTCGGTCTCTGATAGTGACTGATTTTCTCAGGAACTTACTGCTAAATGGTAGCAAAAAATAAATAGCATTTTTCTTGTCTGAAAAAAGAAGATTATGACTTCTGAATGTTATTTCAGTTTTGTTTGTATCTCTTTTATGTGATGAATGCATCAAAGATAGTAAGATATGTGTGCAAAGAACAACTTATATGAGAATGATAAGGAATAACAGAAAAGGGTATTAGAAAATGTGAAAAAGCAAGTTTTATGTTTGAAAGAACAACTCATAAGACGACAATCCTCACAAAGTGTCACCCGAAACTCAAAAGATAACAAAAATACGAAGCAAGTTTATTCTGATGACGACAGATCAATTTCCTGTATTAATTGACATGAGTATGTATACGTTAAAAGTTAAGAATGTGTGCATTTTCATTATAAAAACAAGAAGATGTAGGTAAAGAGAGAGTGGGGGTGGATCGGTATAGGTATGGGTTTTTGAGGATCTAGATAAATCGAAAATCCACACCAACAACCGCAAATAGTTTATTCTGATAAGAATATATTCTAGGTGAACAAAGACAATCATCGCGATTGGATTGGGCTGAATCATCATGGACAAGATGGTTACAGATACCACTATTTATATGGATAACACCTATTCTCTCCTTGAGTAATAAACGCACACTTGTGGAAAACGATCTTGACGATCTTTCTATTCATGATAAATGTTCAGTCTTGTTGAACAGAGTGAATCAGCATGGTTCAGGATGGTCAGGTACATGGCATGTAATCAGGCGAACATTTTATAAAGATTTTCTACTGAGCATATTGCTTGTTTTTCCACTTATCATGGCTCATATTGCATAGCCATTGCTTATTCGCCAAATTGTTCTATACATTAAAGCTCAATCAGGATTACCAGTTTACGCTGCTTATCTATTTGCTATTGCTCTTTGCATTTCTGCCATGGTACAAGCCATTGTTCCTCAACAAATCTTCTTTCAAAATCGTCGCATAGGTATGCGAGTTCACAATGCCTTATCATCTGCCATCTATAAACACTTGTTGGCAATCAATACAGCAGCTCTTCGCAAGACTACTGCTGCTCAGATTATCAATTTAGTCGCAAATGATGTCGGTAAGTTTGAAGAATTGAGCGTGTTCGTGCATAATTCGGTGTTGGTACCTGTGGAAGTTCTTGTAACGTTTGGTCTCGTTTGGTGGTACATCGGTGTACCGACTTTATTCGGCTATGCGGTACTGATTTTATTAGTACCTATACAATTCATGTTCAGTAGACAATTCAGCCGATACCGAAAGACCACAATGACATGTACAGACAAGCGTGTACAAACGATCAATGAACTTGTAAGCGGATGCCAAATTATTAAAATGTACAATTGGGAAAAAGCTATGGAACAACGAGTACGTGAAGCACGTCGGCGTGAACTTTCAAACATTTACAAAGCGAGTTGCTTGAGAGCTCTCAATACTACTATCTCCTTCACAACATTACCTTTGATTTGTCTTGCTACATTCGGTGGTAGTTGGCTAATGGGTCGAACTTTGCTTTCAGAAGATATATTCTCTACACTAGCTTTCTTCGTCATGATCCGAGCTCCAGTAACAATGGCAATGCCGAGCGCGATCGAAAAATTGAGTGAGGCTAATGTTTCTGCAAGAAGAATCGATCAATTCATGCAACTCGACATGTTGTCGAATAAACGTGAAAAAGCGGAAAACGAAAACGGGTATCATGTAATCATAATGGAAGATGCATCATTTTCATGGAAAGATACTCCTTCTTTATTCTCTCTCAATCTCAAAATCAAAAGCGGGAACTTGGTTGGAGTAAAAGGTCCGATCGGTGCTGGCAAGTCAACCCTGCTAGCTGCTATTCTCGGTGAGATCAATCTTGTTAGTGGAAAGCTACGACTTCATGTTAATTCAATTTCGTACACTCCACAATCGGCGTGGATATTTGCTGACACTATTCGAGCTAATATTCTTCTTGGCAAAGCGATGGATGAAGAACGTTACAAGATTGTAATAAAGGCATGTTGTCTTGATGTCGATCTACAGAATTTCGGTGAAGTCGGTGATTTATCAATGATTAGTGATAAAGGTGTCAATTTGAGTGGCGGACAAAAGGCTCGTATATCGCTCGCTCGTGCTCTGTACGCTGATGCTGACTTATATTTACTCGATGATCCACTTGCTGCCGTTGATCCAAAGGTGGCAAAGAACATTTTCGATCGATGCATTGGTCCTCATAGTCTCCTTCGTGGAAAGACTCGAATATTGGTTACACACCAGACACATTTTTTAGTTGAAACAGACCAAATGATTCTCATGACATATGGTCACATCGAAGAATTACAGATTGAACAACGACCTACAATAGAAACATCAACTGATATATTAGAAACAGAGTCATCTGACGACAAGGAGACAGATTGGGTACTTAACACTACTGTAACTGATATGAATTCGATTGTCAAGAATGAGACATCAGTTGACGGTGCCATCAAGTGGAATGTTTGGCTAAAACTGTTTACTTCACCACCTTTACGGTGGTTCGGTTTTCTTCTAATGATTATTTTTATGTTCGTTAATGAAGCTTCGTACGATTTGGCAAATACTTGGCTCGCTCTATGGTCTGATAAAGATGAAAGAGAACAGCGATCACCGTTTTATGCTTACGTCTATCTCGGAGCTATATGTTCTATATTAATCATTTCAATAATACGTGTTGCCTATATCTACTATATTATGTTGTGTGGTTCGACCTATTTTCACAAACAAATGCTCAAAGGTATCTTGTATACTTCGTTACGTTTCTTTGAAAGTAATCCAAGTGGACGAATCTTGAATCGAGCAAGCAAAGATCAACAAGTATTAGATCAATCGTTACCTTTAGCTTTAATTGATACGATGCAATATCTACTGCTAACTCTTGGTTCTATCACAATCATTGGTAGGACTAACCCCTGGGTACTTCTAATTCTCATTCCTTTGGTTCCCTCAGTTGTGTGGCTCCGTCGATTTTACATGCGTTCGAGTCGTCAACTCAAACGACTCGAAAGTATAACACGTAGTCCTATTTATACATTGTTCTCATCATCATTAGACGGACTCACTAGTATTCGTGCGTTTGACGTTCAAGAAGATTTTTTAAATATGTTTATCGAAAGAATTGATGCCAATTCACGAGCTTACTTCATTCTGTCTTCCACTGCGCACTGGTTCGGTATACGACTCGATCTTATGGCATCCTTACTCACGTTAGTTACTGCTGTTCTTGCAGTAGCTTTACGCCATCAAATTGATCCGCCGACAGCAGCACTTAGTATCACATATTGCATTACTTTAACAGGTCTCTTTCAATGGGCTATACGACAATCAGCCGAAGCTGAAAATTTCATGACTAGTGCAGAACGTATTCATGAATATGGTCAACTAGTGCCAGAAAGCCAACAGACCAGCAACGAGAGCAATATTCTCATTCAACCAGCAGAGGATTGGCCTTCTCGTGGTATTATAGAATTTAAAGACTACACTTTTCGCTATCGTCCAGAGCTTGATCCTGTACTCAAAAATCTTAATCTACGAATTGAGTCCAAAGAAAAGATTGGTGTTATTGGTCGGACAGGTATGATTACTTCACTTCTGAGAATATATATGAAGAGCATTCTTAATGAGGAAACAGAAAATCGGTCGAAAATGAATATGTTTCCAATACGTGCCTATACCTATGAATAGTTTTGCGGTATCAAGCTCATTAGGAATAATCTCTTTTAATCTTGTGGCACTTTCCCAGCCACTGCAGATATTTCAAGTTGTAAACGTAGACGTTATAAGGTTGTTGTTTGATGCAAAGTCGAGTGGGATCATATGAAGAGAGACAGATCCAAAGAGACAACTGCAAAATGACCCACGTATTATGTCACTGTTAATCGTCATCGTTGATGAAACGGGCATATCAATATAGGAGAATAGGTGCTACAATATAGCATTGGTGAGGATTCAAGAAAATGGCGAATTCTTCTTAGAAGAAGACATTTCTAAGTAGTGCACTGCATTTCTTGAAAAAAAAGACTAATTATTCGGTGCGTTCAATTCAAACTACGGAAATTAAACGAGGTTTTCCGATGCTTCCAAAAATACAGGACTCGGTAGTAATCAATGCATAGTTTGGCTAACTCGAGGTTATATTATGTAATGCATATGAACAACTACAGTCTAGTGATTTTTACTCGTTTATTCTATATCATATCATGGAATGAGTGAAAATGGGTAATTAAATAGTAGGTACACCTTATATGAGACTAATTCTATCAGTAACTGATTTTGAACATTGAATTAAAGCGATCCGTTGATGAGAAGCTATATTTTTCGAACGGAGCCTTTCATTAGTTATCGCGCCTTGTTCTTATCAACGATGTCTTTTCAGCAACTGGCATGAAATCAAATTTTTAGTATTTTATGAAGTATATTTGACTGATGTGCACTTTCGATGTACAGTATACTCCCAAAGGATTTCGAGCATTGGAATGTGTGATTATCCTGCTGATGACATTTCTTTATCAGTATCTATTTTTCGTCTAGGTGCCGGAAAGTCATCACTTCTTCAAGCTCTCTTTAGACTTGTCGATCAGTCAGCCATCAATGGAACCATACTCATTGACGATATCGATATTGGACGTCTTTCACTCGATCATCTTCGTTCTCATCTAAGTGTTATTCCACAATTACCCATACTTTTCTGTGGTACACTTCGATACAATATTGATCCATTCGAACAATTTTCAGATGACGAATGTCTTACAGCACTTGAAGCTGTTCAACTCAAACAAATGGTGCGCAGCCATCCCGATGGACTCCATCTGTTGGTAGCTGAATCTGGTACTAATTTGAGTGCTGGTGAAAGCCAACTAATTTGTGTAGCTCGAGCCATTCTGAAGAAGAGTCAGATATTGCTGATTGATGAGGCTACAGCAAATGTTGACTATGCCACCGATAGGATGATTCAAGAGGTAATTGCTGACAAGTTTTGTGATCGCACCATATTAACAATTGCACATCGATTGAATACAGTACTCCATAGTGATCGCATTCTTATGTTACAACAAGGAGAGGTTGCCTACTTCGATGTGCCTACCAATATTCATCTAACCTAATGCGATCGTGCAAGATTTCCTACTCACTATTTTCGTCCGTAGATTTAGAATTTTAATACTATCTCGTTGTCAAGAAAATAATACATAGTTATGGCATATAGACAAAAACTTAGTCGTGGGTGTGGGTGTGGATGTGAGTTCACTCTTGACCCACACTCAAACACCCATACCCACACCCACACACCCCCCCCCCCCCACCCCATTTTGTTTATTTTGCCCCCCTTGTTATATTTTGGTGTTTAATAAAAGGAAAAAAATTGAGAGCGACTTTGTTTTT